CCCCTCTCTCAAAGTTTCACCTGCTATATTAGTTTCCTGAGATACATTCAATGTATTATAGAGATCATTTGATGTGAGAAAAATTAATATTCTTTAGTAAAATTCTGTTTCCTAAAGTTGAAAGCATAATTCTGCATTTATAGAGGCAGAGACAGATAGATAGACAGACAGATATGGACAGATAGTCTATACCGGATGCTATTCATTTGGGAATACTTATTTAGTTTATATAATTGATAGTGATTATTTCACTTGGAGAGATTTTTTTTTTAAAAAAAAGTCAGGAACCCATAGGTTTAACCTATGGGTTAAATAACCCATAGGTTATTTAATACGAAAATAATTGGAAGCATATTTGGTCTTCAGGACAAATACTGTCATCTCAATCCATTTTCTAAATTTCTACTTAAAATAATGGGCATAAAGATGGAGGTAATAGAAAAATGATTAAGCTGTTAAAGATGAACTAGAGCAGCACTATCAGGAAGAAATCCAGCAGGTTCTGACAGGTTCTGGAGAACCAGTAGCGGAAATTTTGAGTAGTTTGGAGAACTAGCAAATGCCACCTCTGGCTGGCCCCAGAGTAGGGTGGGAATGGAGATTTTGCAATACCCTTCCCCCGGGAGTGGGGAGGGAATGGGGATTTTGCAGTATCTTTCCCCTCCCACGCCCACAGAACCGGTAGTAAAAAAAATTGGATTTCACTACTGAGCACTATCAATCAAGATGAAATGTCGGCAATTCAAATATTGAATTTTTAAAAAGCATCATGCTTTCTTTATTGGCATTCTAATCAATTTTTACACATACATTAAAAAAAACTTTCCTATTTTGGGGGGGTGGTTGAAGAGTATAATATGCATGTGCACAGGCACACACACAAAGACACAGCTGGACTAGTTAACTCAGCAAACGAAAAAAATATTTTTAAAAAGGTTCTCCTTGGTTTCAAATTTCAGCCTTGTATATGCTAGACAAAAATAGTAGCCACTCTGCCTTTAGTAGCCACTCTGCAATGAAAGTGAGTTATACAAGCTATTAGGGAGCAAAGTAAGCAGTGAAGGGGTTTCCTTCCTCTACAAAGGAGCTAAGAATTGCTGATGTTAGCCTACATTAACAGAAGTATATAATCCCAAACATGCTCTTCCAAATGCATAGGAATATTCAAGGTAACTGACAACCCCTAACCCTAACTCACCCTGCAGCAGAGGCTTCTATAGAAATACAGAATGGAGAATTGCAGTGTACATCTCTGTTTTTATTTACTGTATTTAGGAAGAAATGGCAAACTCATTAATATTTATTTAAAGGGATGCAAGAATTTTCATTTATGGGTTAAAATCTAAAACTCATTAATATTTATTTAAAGGGATGCAAGAATTTTCATTTATGGGTTAAAATCTAAAACATCTTAAATATGTCTAGTTTGATGAAAAGAAGGACCAGGGGTGACATGATAGCAATGTTCCACTAGCTCAGGGGCTGCCACAAAGAAGAGAGAGTCAAGTTATTCTCCAAAGCACCTGAGGGCAGGACAAGAAGCAATGGGTGGAAACTAATCAAGGAGAGAAGCACCTAGAACTATGGAGAGATTTCCTGACAGAACAATTAAACAGTGGAATAACTTGCCTCCAGAAGTTGTGAATACTCCAACACTGGAAGTTTTTAAGAAGAGATTGGATAACTATTTGTTGGAAGTGGTGTAGAGTTTCCTGCCTAAGCAGGGAGTTGGACTAGAATACCTCTAAGGTCCCTTCCAACTCTGTTACTATATTCTATTCTATCTTTTTCCCTCCTATCCTCCATAATCTCCTTAATTAGAAAGAAAGAGAAACAGAGAGAGACAAACAAGTCTCTGTGGAACAGAGCTACGGAAAACAGCTAACCATTTAAAGAAAAAAAAAAACCCTATAGTTGTTCCCAAAGGGTCTTTTTCAAGAAGTAGTGAGAATTACATCAGCTTCTCAGCATGAGGGGAGATGTTGGTGGAGCAAGGGAGGGTGGAGAACTTCATAAAGCAATATAAGAAATCAGGAAGCAAAGGCATCTAAAGTAATCTCACAAGAACTGATAAAGGAGATTCATTCTCTCAGCTCAGGTATGATGGGTCACGATCCATGCCACAATCAGCCAATAGGTGTTATGGTTCTAGGGGGACTTTCTGTTTACATAATATTGTATTTTACCTCAGTGTATTCAAAATCAAGGTAAGTCAGTTCTTGCTACATTGGGGTGGGGTGAGTAGAAAGAACCCTTTATATATTCTGATTAAGAGACTCCTAGACTTCTAACCTACCGGTATGTCCTGTTCTAATGGCACCATAGAAAGGGGCTAAAGAATTCAGACAGCTCACCAGAAAAGAGAAAAATAATAATAAAGTTCCCAAACTATGGGGTGAGTTGAAGGAGGTGGATTGTTTTAGTCCCAAATTTTAGAAGATAATGAAGTGATTTATAGGATGTAATTTGTTGGAGGAAGTGGAACCTATCAGAGGAAAGTGTATTAACTTCTCCCCTATTCAGTTGCATGTGTATTAATATCAAAATACATCCTTGTGGAGAAATGTTCACTGCAGCAGCTTTGTTAATCCTTGGATAAATAATATTGAGATCCATTTCAAGACTTGTTATTAGACAGAGACAATGGAGGTCAGCTGAATTGATCATCTACATCAGGAGCTGGATGAGGAAAGTGCAACTATACATTAATCTTTACTTTTAGGGTTTAATCATCTCCTCCTTGCCCTAACAAGTTAGTATTTAACAATTCCATAAAAGAGTTCTTGTCTACATTTGTCAATGATACCCAGCATTCTTTTTTAAAATAATGGAAATTGCAATCCTTCAGAAATGCAGTAATAGATTAGGGGGATGGGGGTGTCAGTTTTGGCTACCCATAAGCAACCTTAAATCTGAATATATATTTTTCTAGGATAACCATGACAATTTTAAAGAATGGTCTGCAAATTCAATTACTTTGATTTTAGGGACAGTTAGAGAGTGGGGTATTAGCATAATAATGCTAATAGCCATCTATCCATTAGCATCAGTAGATAGAGTACTTTACATATACAAGCCAGTATAATGGAAAAAATATACTGGAACCTATAACAGGAGGATGGTGGAGCAATGAAAACATCTTGATTGCAAATAGATCATTGTTTGACTAAGTTCTCTTTTCACTACATTTTTTAATGCCAATAGGTACAATGGCTCTTCATCACAATACCACCAAGGTGACAGAGTTTATCCTCCTGGGCTTCACTTCTCAACGAAACCTTCAGCTCCTTCTCTTCAGCTTCTTCTTGCCCATCTACTTCCTTAGTGTGGCAGGGAATCTGGGTCTAGCTATTCTTATCCGAGCTGACCGTGCCTTGCACACACCCATGTACTACTTTCTAAGCCACCTGGCCCTGATGGATCTATGCTCCTGCTGCACTGTAGCCCCCAAAATGCTCTTGGGGCTCTTGAAAGGTTATGACTCCATTCCCATCCCAGCCTGTGCCCTTCAGATGTTCTCCTTTGCAGCTGCTTCAGATGCCGAATGTTGTCTTTTGGCAGCTATGGCCTATGATCGGTACGTGGCCATCTGCCGCCCATTGCACTATGGAACTGCCATGCCACAGCGTCTCTGCTGCCTCCTAGTGGCTGCTTCCTATGTGGTAGGGATGGCCTCTGGAGTGATCCATTCCAGCATGGCTTTCCGTCTGCCTTTCTGCCGTGCAAATACTTTGGACCATTTTTTCTGTGATATCCCCCCGGTTCTGGTTTTGGCTTGTGCAGACACACATATTAACCAGTTCTTGCTCTTTGTAGTCTGTGGAACTATCCAGAGCATCACTCTGATGGCAATTATAAGTTCATATGGAATTATCCTCTGGACTGTAGGACGAACAGGATCATTTCGAGGTATGTCCACCTGCGGATCTCACCTTACAGTTGTTGGGGTGCTTTATGGTACCCTCATTTTCATGTACCTACGGCCTGATGGCACATATGCTCCACAAACAGACAAGATGACTTCTGTCTTCTACACAGTAGTCATACCTACCCTTAACCCTGCCATATACAGTCTTCGTAACAGTGAGGTCAAGCAGGCAGTCAAGAAGAGGTTCAGTAGCGGAAGGCATCAGGTTTAAAAGAGTGGAAGTATGATAGGAGGGAACAGCTCTTCCTAACTCATTGTGGGAAGCCCCCCAGAAGAATGAAAATTTTGGGAAATATTTAAAAAGGCAGAATATTATATTTCCCCTAAAGGAGAAATGAAAAAACCTTAAGGGAGGCAGAAACCAGCCCCAGTTTCCCTTCCCGCAAGGGCACACCCAACCTGCCACTGATGAATGAATGAAATAAATGGTGTGCGCTTGCGCAGCCGGTGCATGGACGAGGGCGGCAATGGTGGCGGCACATTCAAGAAGGAGAGCAGCTCTGGTAACTTCCGGGCGCTTGCCTTCCCTGGCAGCCAGCCGCGGGAGAAAGGTAAGGAGTAGGACACGCCACGTGGCGAAGGGCGAGCGGGTGGCAGCTCCACAGCAAGGCTGCAGTCAGGGAATCGTGCATTCCCTGACCCAGTTGAGGCAGGCGGTGAGCAGGCGGCAGCTCTGGGGCTTCAGTAATGGTGTGTCTCTGGGCCCCAGCCCCCGACCCAAAGCGAAGGGAGAGCAGGTGGTGAGAGGGCAGGGCAAGGCCGGAGTCTCTTTCTGGGCATGTCGCTTCTGCCTGTTGGGCCACTTCCTGAAGCTGGCAGCTCTGCAGACAGCCACTTTGCTTTTTCCCTCTTTTTCCTCTTGGGAGGCTTGCGTGGTGGCACCAGCAGAAGCGCTGCGGGGAAGTGGCCCAAAAAGCAGAAGCGCTGCACCCAGAAAGAGAAGGGCAAGAGGGGCCAATGGGCTGCAGAGGCTAAGGCGGGTGGGCAGAGCCTCCAGCTGCCATCGCTACCAGTTCTCCGAACTACCGGCCATCATCGCTACCGGATTGGGCGATCTGGTCCAAACCGGAAGCATTTCACCCCTGGTTATACTTCATCAAAAAAGAGAACTTTTCTTTCCAATCAGCCTCCAGCCTCCATTTTGTTTCCAGTGCCTTTCTCCCATATTGGATCTGGACCTGGATATTTCTTCCAACATCATTATATTATCTTCCTGAACCTGGTGTCTTCCAGCTATTTTGGACTCCCTGTCTGGAAAATGAAGACCTAAGAATTATAAGAACTGAAAATCAACAAATCTGGAGGTTGTAAAAACTACGGTAGTATGCAATATATCTAAGTGAATGTTCTGTTGAAACATCAAGACCTACTTCTGATGGAACATGCATATTATTCCACTCTCTGGGAAGACTTTTGCACTTTGATATAGACTTTTGTATTTTGATATAACAACACAGAAGCAAGGAAGAACCAAAAGTCATATTGGCAGCCTCCTGAAGAAATGCTGGTGGCTTTACTTTTTAATGAGGGAGTGGAATTAATAATTGCATTTAAAAAAAAAAGTTTGACATTGGGGGGAAAACAAGACTCCATATATCAATCAATTCAATCTATTATTTCAAGGAATATTTTTGGTAGTTTGTTTTGCATCATTTTTATCCCATTTGGCAAGCAGATTACTGCATTCAGATCTCCCATTAGGCACTAATTTTCATATGACAGCTCTACTAACTTTCCCATATGCATTAAAGATGCAGATTTATTTTCATTTGGAACATAAATCCCCACTAAAAGGAACTTAATTTTATTATAATTAATCTCCACTCTCAAATATCTGCCTTAACCACCAGAAAAAATTATTTGCAGTTGCAATTGTGGATTTATGTACAAAAAACTTTACTTCAGCCTCCTTAAGCAAAAAATAAAATCCTCTCTCAAATTTTTATTAAACATTTTTTTTCTTTCTTATAAGTGTTTTTGTAAACAAACTACATCCAACTTTAATTTCTTCAAATAATGAAATAACTTTTTTTCTTTTCTGAAGGGCACATGCCCCATTTATATTCCACCTTAGGTATTTAAATTCCATTTTTATAAATTTCAAAAAGTCTCTATCAGTGGTACCTAATGTAGTGGTATCTTCTTCATTTTCTTGTATTTGCATAGCTTCCCCTGTTTGTGTCTGTGGTATCTCCTCCAATTCAACCTTAATATCTTTCCAAAAATTCTCTCACCTTTTGAACTGAATTAAATCAAAATCACTGCTGCTTAAAAGTAAAATTCACTCCCTTCAATTTATTCTACATAAATGGTATCTTCGATTTTGTCAGTCATGAAGCTATAGTCTTTCCTTTTATGCAGTATTTTAATAAGTATTTATTTAAGTAGGAGTTAAGAGTTATTTATCGTTAACTTTGTATTAAAATGTGGGTGTAGAATTGTTCTAGTGATGTACAATGTTCTCTTCCTAACAAAATAATATAACTAATATGTCTTTTTGGGACATTTCTTAGTTTTGATGTATCTTGTATTAATTCTATAAAGATTATGCAATTCTGCTTCCATATTTTTTCTGTCCTGTTGCAAAAATTTTGTAAGACTGAACTATCCTGTTCCTTATATCTTCCCCAGGTTTTTCTAGGTCTAACTTCAAGCAAAAGTCCTTCTCTCTCAATTTTGACAATGCTAAATTATCTAAATTGTTTTCTATGTCTTAGCTTATTGCTTCAGTCTTGGTTTCTAAAATTTCTACTATTTCCTTAACTTGATGAATCTCATCTTCTGTATTACTAATTCTTCAAATTTCTTATTCATTATTTCCTCCAAATTCACCAGTTTCTCCTCTATGGAGGCTGTCACTGCTGCTGTTACAGATGGTATGACAGTCTCTCCCATCTCTTCAAATATCCTCGGTAAATTCTTAGGTATATTCTCAGCTGGTTGATCGATCAGTGATACTTTTCTTTCCTCTTTCATTGCTTTTCTTATAGTGGCCATCTCTGTCTCTGTCTCTGTCTCTGTCTCTGTCTCTGTCTCTGTCTCTCTCTCTCTCTCTCTCTCCCTCCCTCCCTCCCTCCCTCCGTCTCCGTCTCTCTGTCTCTTTCTCTCTGTCTCTGTCTGTCTGTCTGTCTGTCTGTCTGTCTGTCTCTCTGTCTCTCTTTCTATCTGTCTCTGTCTCTGTTTCTCTCTCTGTGTGTGTGTGTATCTTAATTTACAATCCAAATAAAAGGAAAACCAGCTTTAACCTATGATTCCCCTTTTTCTTGTTTCTTAAAACCTGCACTTTTACAACAGTCCTTGAAGCTTTCATGTTTCTATGCTCTTGCAGTCTATACATTTTTATGACTGTGCCTTATCCCTTTTGTTTAAAGAAAGCTGGCCAGTCATTCTCCTTGGTGAGTCACAACAAAATGCTTGCCCATGAAGGTATGTGCTATTTATTTAATTTATTTATTTTATTTTATTATTCATATTTCTATGAATAAGCTGCCCGAGGACTCTGGGCAGCTTACACCAAAGACAGTATACTAAATAGCATATTGCCCCCAACAATCTGGGTCCTCATTTTACCCACCTCAGAAGGATGGAAGGCTGAGTCAACCTTGAGCCAGTGAGATTTGATCCGCTGATCTGCTGAACTAGCAGTCAGCTGAAGTAGCTGCAGTACTGCACTCTAACCACTGCGCCACCTCGGCTCATTAATTAATTAATTGTCAGGATTTTAAAGTAAATGAAGTTTACTTCATTTGAGCCATTCAATGGGGGTGGGGTGGGGTGGAGGGGGGGCTCCAATTACTTCATTGTTGAAAAAGAAGTGGTTTTGGAATTTATCTTTCAATTGGACAATAAGTTATGCCTTTTACTTCTTAAACATTTGATTTGATTATTACTTTTATTAAGCTAAAAGAGGCTCTCTTCAGTCACAGCCTGTTATTCCTTTTTGAAGATCTGTACCATTTTCAAGACATTGCTATTGTTGAATGAGGAGGAGGAGGATTGCCAGAGATGGCTTAAAAAAGAAGGTGTAGGGGAAAAATTCTTCTAATTTTGATTGGGGACCCCCCCCACATCTTATTGTTATAGATTCCCAAGAAGGCTCTTTATAGTGACATCAAAATTATAGGTGAAAGGAAGAAACTATGACAACAAAGGTCTGTAATAATAAAATAAAAGTGTCATCCGTCATTCTCAGCTGCTTGCTCTATCAAAACACAATCTTTAAAATTCCTATCAAGCATGGTGAACCTTTCTGTCCCCAAGACAGTATAAGGATTAGGGTTAGTATTGGCTATGGGCTAAAAGAAGAAGCCACATCTTTATTAAGATTCTTTATTAGACTTTATTAGAAGTTTCTAACTTTATTAGTAGTTTATGTCAAGATGTGAGAATTGCTTCTCCTGTCTGCTCTTCTTCTTCTAAATTAAAAGGGTTGAGGTCCCTGACCTGGAATTTAATGGCAGTCCTCCACGCTCTCATTTCAGCAAGAGTAGATGAATGGATAAGGAGACGGTCAGGGCAAGGATATGGAGAGAAAATCCTTTTATGCAGTTGCTAAGAATCAACACCAACTTGATGGCACATGATGAAGCACCTACATCAAGATATCCAGTAAGCTGAAAATGAACTAAGGAAGTTGTTTATGTCATCCCCAGGAGGAATTTTAGGCCATTCAAATCATGTAATATTTTAATGATGTTTGCTATGTTTGCCTCCATATTAAAAGGTATAGTCATTTGCATGAAGTAATTATTGTGTTTTCTCAAGAAAACTAAGTATAATAATATGCACCTATTAAACAAATAAAAGTCCAGGAAGAAACTAGCATAGGAAAAGAAAAATGGTAATTAAAAAAAAAGATTTCTGCCAGGTTTCAAGCCAGCAACACATAGTAGCCACTCTGTTTTTCATTACTGTGAGTAAAAAGTTCATACGAGCTATAATTAGAGAATGCAAAGTAAGCAGTGACTCAGTTGAAGAGATTTCTTTCTTTACAAAGCAGCCAAAGAATTGCTGATGTTAGCTTGTCACAAAGAGAAGCATACAATCTCAAATGTGCTAAAATATAGGAATATTCAAAATGATGAAACATGGAAATTATACATTAGAAATGGAGCAATTTATACTGAGGATGGCAATGAGTGGGGAGAATAATAGAAACTGACATCATCCATTTCTGCCCTCCAGAAACAGTTGCTTAACCATTTGTGGCAACTGGGCAACCAGGAATTGTGGAAAGTTCTGGGAGGAGCTAAAGTCTCCAAATAATTATATGCATCAAATTGCCCATCCTGAGGCAGAGGCTTGTGTAGCAATACAAAATGGAGACTGTTACCAACATCCATCTTTTTTTCTATTAATTTAATCAGATATGGCAAACTCATTAATGCGTAATTAAAAGCATGCAAGATTTCTCATTTGTAGGTCTAAAATCTAAATATTTTAATAACCTTTTTTTGTTTGCTAACCACCAGAGGAGAGAGAGACACACACAGAGAGAGAGCGCTAGCTAACAAGTCTCTTGGAAGTAGAAACACCTAACCATTTCAAGGAACAAACTATAGTTGTCCCATGAGGATTTTCTTCAAGAAGTAGTGAAAATTACATCATCTTCTCAGCCCAAGGGGAGAGGATGGTATAGGAAGGGAAGGTAAAGAACTTCATAACACAGTATAAGAAATCAGAAGCAAGGGCATCTAAAGCTATCTCACAAGAACTGATAAAGGAGATTGATACTCTCAGCTCAGGTATGATGGGTCACGATCCATGCCACAATTAGCCAATAGGAGACTTTCTGTTTACATAATATTGTATTTTACTTCAGTGTATTCAAAAGCAAGGTAAGTCGGTTCTTGCTGCATTGGAGTGGGATTTCTAACCTATGTCCTGTTCTGATGGCACCACAGAAAGGGACTGAAGAATTCAGACAGTTCACCAGAAAAGAGGGGGAAAAAATAAAGTTCCCAAACTATGGGGTGAGTTGTAGGAGGTGGATTGTTTTAATCCAGAATTTTAGAAGAACTGAAGTGACCTATAGGATGTGGTTTGTTAGAGGAAGTAGAACCTATTAGACAAAGTGTATTAACTTCTCCCCCATTCAGTTGCATGCATATTAATATCTAAAGACATCCTCGTTGGAGAAATGTGTACTGCAGCAGCTTTGTGAATCCTTGGGTGAATAATATTGAGATCCATTTAACAGAATAGCAGAGTTTGAAGGGACCTTGGAAGAGTCCAACCCCCTGCTCAAGCAGGAATCCTATACCACTTTAGACAAATGAAGTTAATATCTTCTTAAAAGTCTCCAGTGTTGGAGCATTTATAACTTCTGGAGGCAAGTCATTCCAGTGATTAATTGCTCTACCAGGAAATTTCTCCTTATTTCTAGGTTTGTCCTCTCCTTGATTAGTTTCCATCCATTGCTTCTTGTCTTCCCTTCAGGTGCTTTGGAGAATAGGTTGAGCCCTTCTTCTTTGTGTCAGAGGGCCCTTAGATAGAGGCAATGTATCTCAGCTGATCATCTTCATTAGGAGCTAAATCAGGAAAGTGCAACTACACCATCAATCATTTTTTATTGATTGATCAGCATTACAAATAAAAGCATTAAAAACAGTAATAATAAAAAAAACCAAAAATAAATGGCAGACAATATCTTACGATTGGCTGTGGATTATCAGTGGGCAGTTAGCGCCTGCCTAATTTTGCATACAGCATAGTAGGATTTGGCCACATTCAGAGAAACCACTTCATACTGATCTGATAACAGTAGTTGTATGTAGAAGAGATCAGTGTTTCCCAGATGTTGTATTACATAAGGTGTTATAAATTGAGCCCTTATAGAAGATGCAGTGTAGCAGGACATGAGCTCTAGTTTCAATGGCCCCCTGTTCACAGGGGCACAGTTTTAGTTCACATGATATTTTTTTGTATCAGCCCTCTAAAACTGCTATGGGAAGGACATTGCAGTGAGTTAAGGTTAATGCCCTTCAAATTTTTGGGACAGTTATTCAATATCTAGCTGCTTTAAAAGGCAGAGTATGACTGCTCAAAAAAGCCTTCTTGGGAAGAGCAGCCCAATGTTGTTAGCTTTCCAGCTCTTTAGTGCATTGTTTAAATGTGCTAAGTTCACACTCATACCCAGTGGTGGGATTCAGCCAGTTCGCACCACTTCAGGAGAACCGGTTGTTAACTTTCTGAGCAGTTTGGCACACTGGTTATTGGAATAAATCATTAGGGCAGAGAACTGGTTGTTAAATTACTTGAATCCCATCACTGCTCATACCCTATCATTAAATGCACTTTCCTGGAGAGACCAAGATACTGGAGATTTTGTGAGATGGTCCTGAACTATACTGTCTTCTATAAGGAGGGAACTTAAAGCTGTAGAGGAAAAGAGTAGCTATAACCAATGTACAAAAATGTAAATCCGTGTATCTGTTTCTATTTTGGCTAGTCCTGCCTCCCTCCTTAGTACTACATTTGGGATGTACTGGGCTACCTGAAATATAGCTCTTAGGAATTTGGATTGCATCCTTTCCAGAGGAGTAAAAGTAAATGTGGAATAAGGTCCCAGCTGAGCACCAAAGAGTAATATGAGCCTTAGCTGAATATAACTTTAGTGGTGCTGAAATATACTGTGTTCCTTTGGAGAAATAAAAAGATTGAATTGCTACTGCAATAACATAGTTTTGAAGTGCACTGTGTTTAGTGAAGCTATGGAAAACCATGCCCAAAAGTTTAAAGGATTTGACTTGCTTTATTTCTGGCCAATTATCTTCCAGATAATTTGACAGTGAGAGCAATCAACTAATGGAACAGAAGTTGCCTTCAGAAGTTGTGGGAGCTTCATCACTGGAAGCTTTCAAGAAGAGACTGGACTGCCATCTGTCAGAAATGGTGTATGGTCTGCTGGGATGGACTAGATGACCTACAATGTCCCTTCCAGCTCTGTTAATCTGTATTTCTAGATCACAATCTTAGTTTTACTATAACTGATTTCAGAGCTCATCAGAGCAATAACTAGCCAGAGCATTCAATCTAAGTCCAATTTGTGTTTGGGATAAAAGTACTATATCATCAGCATACAACAGGGATACAATATGCTACTAGCTAATTTGGGGGGAATGGTCCTCTAACTGGTTTAATTGGGACACTAGTGGATTTACATGGAAATTAAACCGCATAGGGACTAAAATGCATTCTTGCCTTACTCCTCTATAGGCTTACTCCTTGGTAGTGGCCTTGTGTGCTGCATAGAACTTTAATTCTAGGGTTCTTATAAATATTGTGCATAAGCAATAATGGTGTCTGTCAATAGTTGTATGCAGAAGCATAAACCAGAGCCTTTCTCTGGGAACTAAATTAAATGCAGAGCTGAAATCAATAAATGCAGTATATAATGGTGAACCTGGTTTGGACATGTATTTTTTGACCAGAAAATAGCACTTAGCACTTAAATTTATATACCACTCCACAGTACTTTTACAGCCCTCTCTAAGCGGTTTACAGAGTCAGCATATTGCCCCCAACAATCTGGGTCCTCATTTTACCCACCTCGGAAGGATGGAAGGCTGAGTCAACCTTCAACCGGTCAGGATTGAACTTCTGGCAGTGAACAGAGTCAGCCTGCAATACTGCATTCTAACCACTGCATGACCACTGCTCTTATCGTTGATAAGAACATTGTTTGATGGAGTCCTTTTTAAATAGAAAAAACACTTCTCTAGCTTGGACAGTTATTATATTCTTTCATTAAAATTTCTGCTATTACTTCTTTTCATATTGATCATTGATTTCTGCATTTAGTTCAAGTCTGGAAAGCTGGAGGTTATATATGCAAACCTCTGCCTTAAAATGAAGTGTAATTGCTATCCTAGTGCCAGTGGGGTAATTGAAAATTTGTTCCATTCCTGTTGTGTTCTTTACACAGAAAGGAAAAAGAGTACTTTTCCAGTCCAATGCTTTAGAATAGCTCTGAAATAGTGGTGGATCCTCACTAGGTGAGGGAAAGTAGGTTCAAACAATATCTTGACAAAAGAAGAACTGAGTCAAATTTCTTGTGGAATAAGGAGAGGAAGAGTATGATATGATTTTTCATTTCAACAGGTACAATGGCTCTTCACCACAATACCACCAAGGTGACAGAGTTTATTCTCCTGGGCTTCACTTCTGAACGAAACCTTCAGCTCCTCCTCCTCAGCTTTTTCTTCCCCATCTACCTCCTTAGTGTGGCAGGGAATCTGGGTCTAGCTATTCTTATCCGAGCTGACCGTGCCTTGCACACACCCATGTACTACTTTCTAAGCCACCTGGCCCTGATGGACCTATGCTCCTGCTGCACTGTAGCCCCCAAAATGCTCTTGGGGCTCTTGAAAGGTTGTGACACCATTCCCATCCCAGCCTGTGCCCTTCAGATGTTCATTTTTGCAGCTATCTCAGATGCCGAATGTTGTCTCTTGGCAGTCATGGCCTACGATCGGTATGTGGCCATCTGCCGCCCATTGCACTATGGAACTGCCATGCCACAGCATCTCTGTCATCTCCTAGTAATTGCTTCTTATGCAGCAGGGATGACCTCTGCAGCAATCCATTCCAGCATGGCATTCCGCCTGCCTTTCTGCAGTGCAAATACTTTGGACCATTTCTTCTGTGATATCCCTCTAGTTCTGGCTTTGGCTTGTGCAGACACACAAATTAACCAGCTCTTACTCTTAGTAGTGTGTGGAACTATCCAGAGCATCACCCTGTTGACCATTACAGCTTCCTATGGAATTATCCTCTGGACTGTAGGACGAACAGGATCATTTCGAGCTATGTCCACCTGTGGATCTCACCTTACAGTTGTGGGGGTGCTTTATGGTACCCTTCTTTTCATGTACCTACGGCCTGATGATACCTATGCTCCACAAACAGACAAGATGACTTCTGTCTTCTACACAGTAGCCATACCTACTCTTAACCCTGCCATATATAGTCTTCGTAACACTGAGGTCAAGCAGGCAGTCAAGAAGAGGCTCAGCAAGATATGTCATCAAACATAAAAACAGCACAAATATAAAGGGAGGAAAGAAGTCTTCCCAACAGTTTAGAATACCCTTCCTAGGCTAGTGGACTCCATGGTTGCAAATTGTAGATCTGAAGATTATAGGAAATGGATTCTAAGACATGGTGAGGCTGAGGAAGCCGATTAGCAAACGTATCTAAGACGAAGTTCTGTTGAAGCAGCAAGACCTGTTTCTGGATTTTTGTGGAAACAATGGTGAACGGAAGATGGCTCCATTAAAAGCAGAACTAATGACCACTGAAGAATGATGAAACAGTGAGTAGATCACACAATAGCAGTTTCTAGCAGGTTTAGAATGTAGAAGACAAAGGGAACCCATTGTTTTGCTCAAACTATGATCAATGCCTTTCTGAGGACACTAGATTTGCATATTTCATTTTATAATCACTTTTGGAAATTGCTTCAATTACTTTTTAGTTATTATTTATTATTATTTTAGCTATTATTTAGCTATCATGCCCTCGTCACCTCCCGCCTGGACTATTGTAATGCTCTCTACATGGGGCTCCCCTTGAGGAGCACCCGGAGGCTCCAACTGGCGCAGAGTGCGGCCGCGCGGGTGGTAATGGGAGCGTCATGGCGCTCCCATGTGACACCTCTCCTGCGCGAGCTGCACTGGCTCCCAGTGGTCTTCCGGGTGCACTTCAAGGTTTTGGTTACCACCTTTAAAGCGCTCCATGGCTTAGGACCTGGTTATCTACGGGACCGCCTACTACCACCAATAGCCTCCCACCGGCCAGTACGCTCTCATAGAGAGGGACTCCTCCGGGTGCCGTCAGCCAAACAATGTCGGCTGGCGACCCCTAGGGGGGAGAGCCTTCTCTGTGGGGGCACCTACCGCCTGGAATGAGCTCCCCCCAGAGATACGGAGTATCCCGGATCTGCGCACCTTCCGCCGCACTGTGAAGACTCTTTTATTCCATCAAGCAGGCTTGGCCTAATCTCCTCCCTCTTTTAATATATAAATTTTAAATCTGTTCTTAAATTATTGGGGTGTTTTAATTTGTCTGGGCCAAAATGATTTAATTTGATTTTAACTGGTTTTTTAAATTTTTGTATTTATGTATTTTATTGCTTGGCTGTTCACCGCCCTGAGTCTTTCGGGAGTAGGGCGGTATACAAATCAAATAAAACTAAACTAAACTAAACTATTATTTATTTATTATTATTACTGTGGCTAGATGCGGGGAGGAGATTAATGACTGCCACTTTTAGTGTGGTTGTTCTAGAAGAGGAGGAGGAGGAGGAAGAGGAGGAGGAGGAAGAAGAGGAGGAGGAGGAGGAGGAGGAGGAGGAGGAGGAGGAGGAGGAAGAAGAAGAAGAAGAAGAAGAAGAAGAAGAAGAAGAAGAAGAAGAAGAAGAAGAAGAGATGCAGAGTTTCATCTGACAAATAGTATTGATGTAGTGAAAAGGAAGTTCAGAACAGAATTCTAATGTCTTGTCATGTTTCCATTCTATTTTACCCAGTTCCTAATAGCTAAGTGTTTTATTATTTTTAACTAAAAAAGAATAAACACTTCTAAATAGGAAGGATGGGCGTGGCAGGGGAAGGATACTGTAAAATCTCCATTCCCTCCCCACTCCAGAGGAAGGTTACTGCAAAATCCCCATTTCCTCCCAATCTCTTGGGACTTGGGAAGCAGAGAATAGATGGGAGCGGAGTCAGTCAGAATTTTTACTACCGGTTCTCCAAACTACTCAAAATTTCTGCTACCAGTTCTCCAGAACTGGTCAGAACCTGCTGAAACTCACCTCTGGGTCACATAACCAAAAATTATTACAAAGATTAGTATTTCCTTGAAAAGAATGAATATAATTATTTATTGTTAGAATAAAGTATAGAAGTTTATTCTTTTGTTCAATTAATACCAGAGGAGCAGAAGGGAAGTTTAGAACTGCAGAAACATGGAGTCATCAGTGTTACCAAACCTGAAAAACTATGCCTTATCTGATGTGTATGCACAATTTGAGGGTTGCATATTAATTATGCTTGATCATTACCGGTGTCCAGAGGCCCCCTGCGCTGGTGTCCCACGTGGCTGGGCTCCTGGCGTCCCTTGGGTTGCTAGGAGCATTTGTAGCAGCTCTCTGCATTCCTCGCCAGTGAGCTGGTCTACACGGGGGGTGGCTTGGTCCCTGGCCTCCTCCCCGGTGTCCTGGCAGCCCTGGGTGGACTGCTGGCCTTCCATGCTTTCCTCTGTGGCTTGCAGCTGCTGGGAAGTATGCAAAGGGGTCCCTGGCGTTCCACTGAGTCCTCTGGGGACATAGAGATCATCTGTACCCTCCTCTGGAGAGAAGCTTGCATCAGGGACTGGATGCAGGGCTGCCATCTTTGATTGAAGACTTCTGGTCACAATCGGGGATCTCCTGCCATCCATCTCTTGGGGGTTCTTGCTGGAACCTCCAGGCATCTTGCTTCTGCTGGCTTGGAAGCATTGCCTCAAACCATCCTCGGCTACCACTTTGTGAGGGATCTCACAAAGATTGATGGTTCATTGAGGGCGCTTCCAAGAAAAGGCAGCACGCAAGGATGCAATCAAGTTAAATCTTTATTTAGAAATAAAGTAGGTAAAATGAGTTCCCTGGCATGGAGGCATCCATGCCTGGATTGAGCCCATGGATCAGTCCCATAGGAAGATAGAACAAGAGCAGAAAGAGCAGCCCCTGTGCAGGGGTTCTTATAGGGGCCCCGGCCCCTCCCTTACCCATGTGTGTGAGGGGGCCGGAGGGCCATTAACTCTCCCAATGGGGCTGCAGGGGCCGGAGCCCCTTGACCCACCAGTGGGATCAAAGGTGCCTCTTTGCTCCCATCTGGTGGTCTTTTAAGAAACTGCCATGGCTGGCACAAAACACCTAACACTGAAATTTGCCACAGATGTTCCTCTTGGCTTCTAGGTGCTCATTAAGAAAGGATTTTTCGAAATGACCATCAGACCATTAGTATTTCCTATATTATTATAACACGCTCTGATGCTAATTAGTTAGACGTTCTACTCCCCCTCCCAATTTGAAAATAACTCTGGAGAGAATGGGATAGCATAGGACAGGCTTCTGTGGGGCAAGCCTCATGGAGAGAAGGGGCTAGAAAGCCTGAGGGAGAGGATAGGATAGAGGAGGATTCTGTGGGGCAAGCCTGAGGGAGAGGAGGGGATAGGATAGGGGAGGCAAGCCTGAGGGAGAGAAGGGGGATAGGATACGATAGGCTTCTGTGGGGCAAGGCTGAGGGAGAGAAGGGGAAAGGAGAGGCCGATCATAACTACTCATTAAGTTTCAAGCTGTAAGTGTCAATTTATCAAACCCCATCACATAGTTTCATAGCAAAGCATGGGTATCTAGCTAGTACTGTATGTCCAAACAAAAGGCAGAAGTTAAACTCATTAGTCAAGAACAAAAATTGAAACTATGTTATAGTGGTGTACATAACCATTCAACCCCAAAATAATACATACAGTATATTCAGCAAAATGGTTTTGCGTCAGGTTATCACAATAATAAGAACAACTTCCCAATGTCGACATGGAATTTAGCAGAGGGAGAAAAGCAATAACTGCATCTTGTAATGGGATTCAACATCATGGGAAAAGTGGTCAAGTAAGCGGCAATTTTTATTGTCAAGAAATATAGAGGTTAATTTTAAAATAGGTATCAAATTGACACCTTAAGATGAAAAAAAACTAAACTTGCCTTGGCTAGGAAAAATTGAAGCCATCAAGATGAATTATTTTACCAAGACTTCATTTTCAATCTCAAATGATTCCAGTATATATTGAAAACAAGGTACAAAATCAGTGGCCAAACAAGTAATAAACTGTATATGGTCCTATAAAAGACCAAGGGTTCAATTCAGTATCCTACAGGATTCAGAATAGTGAAGTAGATTGGCAGTTTTGAACATTAAATTGTACCCCTGGCTGTCTCCAATATTGACATGAGCCAAGTATACGGTGTTGACTCTTCCCTGTGTACAAATAATGATCCCGACACTTTTGGTTCCAAAGAGAAGCTTGACAAATTTTATTTGTTATTGTGTTTACACTGTGAAGTGTGTATCTTTGACTCCTTCTTTCAGTAAAAAGGGGAACTACTACCTTTATTGTACACTTAAAGCAGGAGATTAAAAAGAAGTACCAGTGAGGGAAGATGCCTTCTATTAAGCCACAAACAGGTGGGACCAAGTCCTTGCGGTAATCTCATCCTTCAAGAACACTGACCAATGCATTATAAAACCCAAGTAGCCATATTTCTTGGGAAGTGGGCTGCTCCTAATTATTATGGAAGGCTGCGGGTACTTTCCACAGCTTCACATGCTTTTGCAAGGCTCACACAAAGGCTCCATTGCAACATCTACTCGAAGGTTCTTATAGACCATTCCCTTCCATGCTCCAGTTTCATTAAATCGTTCCACGTCGCCATGGGGTTTCACTTTTTGGATTGTGACAAGAAATGGTACGACCACACTATGTACTATATCCACCCAAAAGCTTGCTATTGCTTTGGTACTGGGAGGCACCTCCACCTTCCTGACTATGATCTCCAGAACTGACCTCACCAGAGAAAAGTTCTGCTGATTGTCCTCTGTGTACTTTACGGTGGGTGTTGCATCCTCAACCCTGAAACTGCAGGAAGAAGGCAATCCCAGTCCCCAGAGATGCTTCCAAATCACTCTGTCGGTGCAGTTGGTCACCCAATTGAGGCCAAAAGTGTGTAGGACTGAGGTCGAACGTCTGTTGTAGAAGGTTTGTTTATCCACAAAATGAGGATGATACTGGATGGGGAAAATGTCATTCGGGACCATGCTTACGATTTCAAAAGTCGGGCTATCAATATCTCCAATCTGGGGTAGAAAACAACAGGTCTCATCAGGAAAGAACTTGGCTGCTTCCAGGCCATTGAATTCTCTAAACGTTCGGCACAGAAAGAGACCATTGGAGGCCCGGAAGGCTATCATATTGTCCCTGAAATACACTTCAAAACTCAGGGATGGTTTTGTTGAG